ACGTACTTGATTGCTTCCTTCTGTTTGTTTTGGATTTAGCTTTTCCTGGATTCTCAAAGTTAGATTATTAATTTGAGACTCTTCTAGGTTTGTACAGCTAAGTTTGTACAAATTTCCCTCTAGGCACTACTTTTGCTAGTCCCACTGTGTGTGTTTTCATTAATTCCCAAAGTCTTTTCTAATTTCGCTTGTCATTTCTTCTTTGATCCATCCATTATTTAAGAATGTGCTGTTTAATTTCTACATATTTGCGGATTTCCTACATTTCCTTCTTTTATAGGTTTCTAATTGTTGTGACCCCAATACACAGTTGCCTCTTCTTTTGCTAGTTCTTCAGGTATAAATTTAAGTTCTTGATATGCCGTCTTCCTTTTTTTAAAGTAGGTATTTACAATTATGAATTCCCCTCTAAGCATTGTTTTTACTGTTTCCATTAAGTTTTAGTATGTTGCTGTCTTACCTTTCTAACGTTGCTATAACAGAAATAACACAAGTGGATGGCTTGAATAGACATTTATTCTATTATAGTTAAGGAGGCTTATCATTGTGTACCGTCAAGTACACAATGATAAGAGAACTGACTCATAGCTAACCCTCCAACAGGTTTTCAGAGGCTGTAAATGGAATGGGAGGTGATTTCTCATATTTCTCCTGCGGAGCAACAGGCAGATTCAAACCAAGTGTATTAAGACTGATAGCAGAACTTCTTATCACTTGGCCACCAGAACTCCCTAGTTTAGGACGCTAGGAGTCAAAATCAGGGCACCAGCTCTAGGGGAAGGCTTTCTCTCTGTGTCAATTCTGAGGGAAAGTCCTTGTTTCCTTCAGCATCTGTAGTCCCACCCTTCCTTGAAGAACTTCATATACCTTGGCCTTTCCTCACGTCCAGGAGTTTCCCAGCACAGGGACCTGGGTCCAAAGGTACACTCCAGTCCTGCTGATTCTTTTTTTTTTTGTTTAAATTTTTTATTGATTTGCATGCAATAATTTGTTTACATTGTGTTTCATTCACATACATTGTTTTGGGGTGGGATTTTTTCACCCTGCTCCTTCCATTCACCAAACTCTGTGACGCCATAATTTGCCCCACTTCCCACTCTCAGCTTCTCTGCCTTCTCCTCTTCCCTCTTTGGATATCCATACACATCTTAATGGTTATCCTTCTTTTTTTACAATAATGATCACATACAGTATTTGTTCTTATGAACCTGAGTTAGTTCACTCAGCATAATGCTCTCTAGCCTCTCCCATGTTCTAAAAATATATAGTATTTTCCAAAATTGTTGCTCCTGGTGATTACAGAGGTCCTCTTTATGCTTGCTTTTCTCCCTTTTTATCTCTTGTGAGTTATAAAGTGTTACAGGCCACATCCCAAAGAAACTCCCCTTATATTCAATTAGGACTGTGTTGCAATTAAAGGGGTTGCATGCTACCCTTACTGCTTTTAAAACTATTTGGTATAACAGATCATGGACAATCATTGTATAACTTCTATATTGTATCATTGTTGTTGCAACTCATAGTGACCATATGTGCAAGAGCTCTGAAGCCTGCCTTGTTCTGAGCCTGTCTGTCTGCCTGACTCTGACACATCTACCCCTATTGCTTCAATTACTGTTATCAGTCCATCTCATCCAGAGTCTTCCTTTCTTGCATTGTCCTTCCACCCTTCTTAATATGATATCTCTCTCCAAGGACTGGTCCCTCCTTGCCACACGCCCAAAGTATGTCAGAGATTCAAAATCCTTGTCTCTAAGGAGCAGCCTGGCATGTATTTTGGAAGAGACAAAATTCAGTCCATTGCATTTGTATTTTCATTATCTTTAAGTAGTTTCTAAGCTCTTGGTGTGACTTCTTTAATAACATATTGTTTCAGTCTCACATCTTTTTAAAATGTTCAAACTGTCTTCTTTTGGTTGCCATTTGCCTTCCATTGTGGTCAGGAAAGATAGCTTGTATGGTTTCATTCCTCTTAAATTAGATATTTGGGGGGGTTGTTTTTGTTTCAAAGATAATTCCATATATAATTTAATATATTATTCTGCCAAAGGAAGTCATAGAGGGGAAAAGCAAAGCCAAAGTGATAGGAGCAAAATAGTAGAATAGCTGTTATTTTGTATTCAGGATATGATCCATCATCCTTTTAAAAATTTTTTTTATTATTAATTTAAATAAACACTTACAGGGATTTTGGATTTCCGAGTGTAAAATGGTGCAACCACTGTGGAAGGTGGTATGAGGCTTTCTCAAGAAGTTGCAAATAGAGATACCATTTGACCCAGCAATTCCACTACTGGGAATATATCCCAAAGAGACCATAACTGCCGCCCAAGCACATATATGCACACCCATGTTTATCGCAGCTTTGTTCACAATAGCAAGGAGTTGGAAACAACCTAAGTGCCCATCAACAAACAAATGGATAGAGAAGCTGTGGTATATTCACACAATGGAATACTACGCTGCATTGAAAAACAAGGAACTCATGCAATATTATTCAAAATGGGTGACCCTGAAGGACATTATGCTGAGTGAAGTATCTCAGTCACAATAGGACAAATACTGCATGGTGCCACTGTTGTAAAACAGGACTGACATCGGGATTGAGGGGAGAGTGAAATAGAGGGGATAAATAATGTATACTGCATTGAAACAGATGAGGGAGAAAACTGTTTAAAAGGGATATGTGATTAGGTATTTTTGTCATGACAGGAGTCCAGAGCGAAGGCTGCATAGTGGAGTGGTCCTGCGGGAAGGGACTGTAAAACTTAAAAGAATTTTTCTTTTACTTTTCCAAGAAGGTAGTGTACTGGGGGGGAGGAGAAAAATGAAACAATGAATTAATGCAAATTCAAAGTCTCTGTAAATTTTCATTGAAATTAATAACAGGTATTTGTTTTATAACTTAACTTATGGTCCATCCTAGAAAAAGTTCCATGTGTACTTGAGAGGAATGTATATTCTGCTGCTATCTGGTGGAGTATCTTTAAATTTCTCCTAGATCTAGTTGCCTTAGAGTGTTCTTCAAATGTCTATTTCCTTCTTGATTATCTTCCTAATTATTCTAATCATTATTGAATGTAAGGTATTGAAGTCTGCCAAGTATGTTGTTGAATTATTTGTTCCTTCAGTCCTGTCTCTTTTTGCTTCAAGTATTTCAGGGCTCTATTGGTAGGTTCAAATAGAGTACTTCTGGCCTAGTGAGTAAAGAATTGTGCTGCCGAACCCAAAAGTAGATGGTTAGAATCCACCAGCTGCCCTGAGGGAGAAAGATGGGCAATCTACTCCTGTGTCATTTACAGCCTCTGGAAACCCACTGGAGGTTCAGCTATGAGTTGAATCCAACTCAGTGGCAATGAGTTGCATTGAGTTGAGTTGATCGGTAGGTTTCAGTACTGTACTTTTATGATGCCTCTGAGCTCTGGTGGAAAGTATATCTGACAGTGTGACCTTGCTGAACTGGAACTTGAAAACATTTGTTTTCAAGCATTGTGATCACCATGTAAACTATAAGGTGATCATTTAAAAATGTGAGTTATGATTTTGCTTAGACCGTGGCTAAGTCACATAGCTATTTAGATCAGTTTTTTCTCCTGTAAAATGGGATAATGATAGTACCTACTTCATTGGGTTGCTATGAGAATTATGGAGAATCAGTTGTAATGATTTTAGCTCTGCTTGTCATCTGCCTACCTGCAAATAGCAGTTAAAATGAGTTGATATTGTCTAAGTATATTCTCAGAGATAATATAGGGAGAGGAGCCAAAAACAGAGTGTGAGAGAGAAGTCATTAAAAGATAGAGCAAAAATTTAGTCTCACTTACTTTGGGCATATTCTCAAGAAGAACCAATCCTTGGCGAGAGACATTATGCTGGAAAAGGTTGAGGGTCAGCAAAAGAGAGGAAGATGACTGCCACAAAGGACTTGAACAGAACAGAGGTCATGAAGGTGGGACAGGATAGGGAAAAATTGAGATCTATTATTCATAAGTCATAGTCGATATGATGGCACTTAGCAACAACAATGACATAAAGAATTCTCAGAGAATTTTACCATTTTTTGTGCATTTGTGGCATATGTAGCAAACATAGTTGACCCTACATAGATATAGAAAAGCACAATTACTTCACTAATATTATTTGCGGAATTATAAGGTCCACTCTCCCCATCCATATACAAATGTTCGCGTTATCTCCCATATACTTATACATTCAGGTGCCTGAAATTCTACTTAAAAAAAAAAAGAAAGAAATGAACAATTGTCACTGATTTGATTCTAACTCATGGGGTTTTCAGTGGGTTTATCTTTTGGAAATCATTCACTAAAACCTTCTTCTAAGATGCCTCTGAGTGGACTGTAATTACCAACCCATTTGGGATTCCATAATTCTGGTAATAAAGGTTTTTTTGGGTTTGTTTTTTTTTTTTAGTTTCTCAGTCTACAGTCCTCTTTGAAATACAGACTCTTAGACACCATACATAACTTGTCTTATGCTTTTCCACTAAAGCATTAGTAGTACCCGTCAGATGGATTTCCTTCTTGTAGAAGAGATTCAAGATAATGCAAGAGCACCAGACGAGGTTGGATAGACTGAAAAAGATAAGGGCAAGGGCAGGGAGGGTTCCAAAGGAGACAGAAAACAAATCTTGCCTTTTTCAATATAGACAACTGACTCTCGGTCCAGATATACCCATGCAGGAGTCTAATTGAATGCAGATTCTAAGTTGTTTACCCCCTCACTCCATCCCTTTTCCCAGTTCAGAAGTGATAGCGCTACCAGCAGCAAAGTCCACTAGTTTCTACTCACTCTACTTCCAGGGTCAATACTGACATGACCCATCAACCCCCTCTTCCCCTAATCACCAGCAGTCAGATAATGCTTGTTCTTGGTACCTGTCACCCAGTCATGCTATGGAGACATGGGCCAGAGATGCCAAGGGAGCTCAACAACAGTCCCCAGCACCAGGGCTTATGTCTTCATTCTCTTTCTGGGTTTAGATTACATGCACAGCGCCCACCGCCCTGTCACTGGGGGCCACCTGGGGAAAAAGGAGAGTAGTTATGTGGGCAGCGTGGGCACCAGCCCCAGGAAGTCGAGCCACTGCACGCCCCCGCCTGCCGACTCTGAGCTTGTCAGCTTCTGCTACCTCCATATGCGGGAACAAAGGAAGGAGCAGGAAAGCCGGACAGATGTCAATGAGAACCTAATCTTCTTTGAGGAGACCAGACCCCGGACAAAGTCTGATCCCACATCCAAAACCTCTGGCCAAGGCTATGATGTGGTCCCCGATGACTTTGATGCAGCCAGCCTAGACCACGAGCCTTGTGCCAGCAGGGCCCGCTCCTACACCTTGGACAATTCCCTTGGGGCCGAAGCCCTGAATTTCTACTGTGACTCTTGCAAAGCCAAACTTCAGGAGCAGCTGGGCCCTCGCAAGGGCGGGAAACCTGGCTCCTCTCGTGACAATATGGTAGACTTGATGTCCCTCCCACCCCCTGGAAGTGAGGAGGAAGAGGAGGAAGAAGATGAGAGCACTTCTCTGTTGCCTGCCATTGCTGCCCCACCCCCCGGGTTCCGAGACAACAGTTCTGATGAGGATGACCCCAAGCGCCGGGCCGTCCAGAGCCAGGAACAGGGACGCCACCTGCGTGGGCTCCTGTATGATGAGATTCCAGTGACACTAATTGACAGTGTGCAGACCCGGACAGTCCGAGATCACGCCCAGGAGCTAGATGATGCCTTGGTGTCCACTCTACAGGCTCTGGAAGCCCTGGCTGCTTCAGAGGATGGACCACATCCCCCACCCCCACAGACTGCAGGTAATGGCCCATTCCTCCTCCCTCTTGCCTCCCCTCCCTTCTCCTGGCCAGGCAGGGCCAGCTGGTGGCATTGCTTCTTCCCAAACAGACATCAAAGTCACCCTTGGATGGCAGGGCAGTGAATGGGCCAGAGGTAGTTCAGGTAGGGCCAGGGGAGCAGCAATGAGTGACTGCTTAGCACGAGCTAGAGCTCTAGCTCTCGCCATTCTGCCTCGTTGGAAATGCCTTACAGATGGACCTCAGGGACTGAGGCCATGACAGCTCCGGAGCCAGGCCAGGATGGAGGATCAGAGAAAAATTGTGAGAGATATAGAAGATGGGCAAAGATCATCCAACATGCATATAATTGGAAGAAAGCCCAAACAACCAACTCACCACCTAGCAACCTGGGAGCAGGGAAGTCAAAGAGTCATCACTGCTCAGGGCTGAGATCTTGATCCTGCCTAAGAGCATGGGCTCTGAGTCAGACACATCCAAGCCCTGGCCTCCTGACTCACTTGCAATGTGACCTTACCCTCACTGCGCCACAGTTTTGACATCTTCAAAGGAGTTGTTGATGATAGTCCTACCACATAGGGTTGGTTGTTATGACGATTAAATGAGATCATTCATGTAAAGCACTGCTTGGCACATAGGAAGGCCTCAAAGCGTTGCTTGGCACATAGGAAGGAAAGATGTAGCTATCATTGCTAATGATGAGTTGGTAGGAGAACCATGCAACATAAATGCCATCCTTCGGTATATACACTTATGCCCATTGTGGACCAACACACATATCCTTGATCCACTGAAAGTCACACACATAGATGCCTCCATACCTATATACCTTGAAACAAAGGAAGGAAAAATCAATGGCATGGCAACAGACAAGAAATATAGTGGAATAAGGGCTATGAAAAAGCATATGAGGTAGCAGAAAGAAAGAGGTACAGAGACTGGGTTCCCAGGGAGCAATCCAATTCCTGTCTTTTCTGTGTGTGAGGGTCCAGTCACTCCATGCACATCGGTATCATCCTTGGCATCGGGCACCCTAATAACATGTTTGGCCCTAAGTCTGACATTTCTCTTTGCTCCCAGGCTTGAGGCCCATGTGGCCACCAGAGAGAGGACAAGCTTAGCTAAATGGCCTCAGCTGCAAGGATGGTAGGCAAGCCTGGCCAGATGAGGAGGGATAAAGAGGGGCCTCTCTTTGCCAACCCTCTTGAGGGCAGCTAACCAAAAACTTTCCTAGCTGTCGAATCTAAAAATAGTGTTGATTAGCATGTTGTTTCTGCGTGTGATATGCATGGTAATTGGCTATCAGACTGCCCAGATTGTCCCTTTGCATATTTTGTTTCTTATGCGACTTCCAGTCCTTCACAACCTGTCTCACAGCTTGCCCCTCCCTCTGCCCTTCCACCCTCAGCCCTGCAGTCCCTCCTGGGCCTTAGTGGTTTTCCTCAGCTTGAAAGTTGCTGGCTGGCCTTGAACTCTGTAAGCTCTCTACCTCTTGCTATTCTTTGAAAGGAACTAGAGCTCAGTCAGTGTAACATGTCCTATCCCTGTTCCTCCAGGTCTGATTGTGCTGGCCACAATCACCCCTGAATCATCCCTGGACTCGGGCCATGAGACCAACTCTTCGGAGCTCACAGACATGTCGGAGATGATGTCGGCCATGAAGCAGCACCAGAACACCACCTACTTCCTGGCTCAGCATCTCAACAAGGACAGCCTCCTTGCCCGCAAGGACCTGCCCTTCCGGATCCAGAGCTGTGCAGCCCAGGCTGTCCTCACAGCCCCTTATTCTCTTGGGCGACCAGATCCCAACTCAGCATTCCAGCCAGCTGTCACAGGCCAGAGTCCCGGACCCCCTGGTGCTCGGAGGAAGCTGCCTCCATCAGAGGCCCAGCCCCAGGGCGAGCGAACGTATGCCCTGACAGTGCACCCAGCACTGTCCCCTCAGCTTAGTGAGCAGAAGAATCTGAGCCTACTGTCCCCAGTTCCTGAGGACAAAGGGCCTAGCCATACCAGAGCAGGCCTCGAGATGTCACTGAGGGCGGCCACCCCATCCCTCAGTGAAGAGCAGGTCTCTGAGCTTAGGGAGAACTTGCCCAAGGAAGTCAGGCTAAGCCCCAAGCTTATCCTGGACCCCAAGGGAAGTGTGACCCCAGCCATCATCTCTGCTGCCCTGCAACAGGTGGTTCACAGTAAGAGTCTAGCCACCCCTGGGGGAACTTTGGGAAACCCTCCTAGCAGGGGAGAGAGGAGGCTGGATGCCAGCATGGGAAGGCCAGAGGTCAGTGTAATGAGCAATAAGAATCTTAAGTTTAAAATGAGTCCTGGGGGTCTAGAGAGCTCTCGGAATTCTCAGCCACTGAGCACCTCGTCCAGCCCCAGAGCACGCACAGGCAGCAGAGCTGAGAGCCTGCACCTCTCTCCACAGGAGGACAGGCTGCCAGATCAAAATGTTCCTCCTAAGAGCTACCTTTCTCGAGCGAGTCGAGAGTCAGGGGGCAAGCAAGCTGCCGGGGAGGGGCCAGGCCAGGGCGGGCCCGAAGGCACTAAGCCAGCCCTGCACAAGCAGGCCCCAGTCTCGAGCCAAGGGGATAAGGGGCAAGTGGAGACCACACATAAAAGCAGCAAGCTTGAGGAGACCAGCCTGGTGCCCCGGGCTGGCTATGCCATGGCACTGCAGAGCCCCAGCAGCCAGCCACGGGGCCACAGTCCCAGCTGCCAGCCACGCAGTCTCAGCCCCAGCTGCCAGCCACGCAGTCTCAGCCCCAGCTGTCAACCACGTGGCCCCAGTCCCAGCTGCCAGCCACGTAGTCTCAGCCCCAGCTGCCAGCCACGTAGTCTCAGCCCCAGCTGCCAGCCACGCAGTCTCAGTCCCAGCTGCCAGCCACGCGGCCCAAGCCCCAGCAACCAATCCCAAGGCCAGAGCCCACTGAGGCCTCAAGTTGACAGCCGACAGGTGAGCACCATGCCCTCTCGGAAGCTTGAAACGACCTTGGATGGCTCCCACTCGGCTTCTGAAGGCCCTGCAAAGCCCAAGTCATCCCGAGGCCCTTTCCGGTTACGCAATTTATTTTCTGCCACCTTCCCAACCCGCCAGAAAAAGGAGACAGATGAGCGGCAGGCCCAGTTGCAGAAGGTGAAGCAGTACGAGCTGGAGTTCCTGGAGGAACTTCTCAAGCCTCCAAGCCAGGGGGAGCTGCCGGGCCCCGAGTACCTGCAACCTCCAGCACCTGGCCGCTGCAGCTGCCAACTTCGCAGCAGTCCCGTGCAGCAGGGCCCCGGCATGTCTCGTGAGCAGAGGCGCAGCTGTGATTGCAAGCGCATCTGCCGAGGGGGCCGGCCTCAGGCCGCCCAGACCCCGGTGCCCAGCCTGCAGGGCAGGGAAAGGGACAAAGTCCCCCCTACCCAGAGGCAGCCAGAAGCCGGCCTGGGCTTGAGCCTCAGCAGCCCCAGCAACATCCGACGCATCCGCTCCACCAGTCTGGAATCCCGAGACTGTCGATCAGACCCTGAGAGTGGCATTTCCTGCCTGACCACGTGTGCCTCTGGGGGCGAGTGTCTGGGAGCTCCCAACTATAGGAAGTTGATGCGCCGCTACAGTATTAGTGAGTTGGAACAGGGTGACAGGGCCTCCTTGACCTCAGATGTCTACCCTCACCCGCCCCTGGGCATGCTGCCCAGAGAGGCCAAGGAGGTAGAGGCAGGCCTTCCCCTAGCCTTGGGTCCCAAGAGCAAGTCTCTGGAATCACCAACTCTGGGAGACCCCTCCTACGTCCAGGTTGCCCCTGAGACCAAAGGCCCCAGGCAGATGGCTGTGTTTTCCCTGCCGGAAGAGGTGTACCGCAGACCTGCCGAGCTGGATGAGGACAGTGAGAGCAGCAAGTGCTGCTCCATCCGCTACTGTTTCTACTACCGCAAGTGTGACATGGCTGATGACGCGAGTGATGGCAAGGACGAGCTCTCCTATTCCATCCCTATGAAGATTCTGCCTGGCATGAAACTGGATGAACAGGTGGTGCCCGTGGTAAGCAGGACCCTGCAGGTGCTGGATGCAGCCACCTGCAGCAGCAGCAGCCCTGAGGCAGCCCGCACCCAGGAGATCGATCTGCGGGTGTCTACCTTTGAGGGAAGCCTAGCCAAAATCAATGCCCTGCGGGCCCACGCCTACGGCCTACCTGATGGCTTCCTGGCTGCCCGCCTGGACACCAATGAGCTGCTGACGGTCCTGAGGCAATGTGTGGCCAGCGCAGAGGCCCGCGCCCCCAAGCCCTATGTCTCCCAGATTTCTGAGTACAAGCTGGAACTGGCACTGAAGTTCAAGGAGCTGCGGGCCTCCTGCCGCCGTGTGGCCAACGTGGACAAGAGCCCCACTCACATGCTGGCAGCCATCACGGGCAGCTTCCAGGTGCTGAGCAGCCTCATTGAGACCTTTGTGAGGCTGGTGTTCATTGTGCGCTCAGAGGCCCAGCGACAAGAGCTGCTGGCCAAGGTGGAAGAGGTGGTGAGGAACTACACCTTTCTGCTGCGCGCTGCAGAGGAGTCCACAGCCCGGAACCTTAACCAGCAGCAGCAGCAGCAGCAGCAGCAGCAGCAGCAGCAGCAGGAGACAGCAGCTATAGGGGCAGCCACAGGGCACCCACCAGGCTCCCCGACCTCGGCGACTGTTATGAGCACATTCACCCGCTCCTTAAAAACCCTTATCAAGTAGGGCATCTGCCCACACCTGCCCTCCCCCAACCACAGCCCCAGGTTCTGAGCTTTGTGGTTCTTGCATCTTGTGGTGTGTGTGTGTGTGTCTGTCGAGCTGGTCAGGGTCCCTGAGCCCTTCAGTCTCCAGGGAGTGAACACTCTCTCAAGTTGAGAGGCTCCCTGAGGGCTCCAGGCAGCTGCTGCCCTGGGGGTTCTGACCCCCTTCCCTGCCCTCTGGGTGTCACTGTGAGGGCAGAGGCCTCTCGTTGCCACGCCCACTGGCAGAGCTGTCATTTCTCTCTTCCCAGGGGTGGAGAGGTGACGTCAGGCTCACATCGTGTGCTCCCTTGGGGATCAGGAGAGCCAGGGGCTGAAGCAGGCAGCGCCCCTTCCCCTCGGCCAGGCTTTGTGTTCCTTCTGACATCTGCTCCCTGAGAGAGAGCAGTAGCAGCAGGCCACAGGACCGAGTGGAGCGGAGCAGAGAGGGCGCTCTACCCAGCTGTGCCCACCCACTCTTGGCTCGCACTCGCCTGGCAGGAGCCACTGCGGAAGGCACCTGCCCTACCCTGGTGGTATGTCTGCAGAAAACAGCCACACAGGGCTGTCCACAGCCAGCCTCACAGCTGGCAGCATTGGACGCCCTCGCCCCCAGGTCCAGTAGCTCCACACCAGCCATCCCCAAAGTTCCCTGCCCTTCACCGATGGGCAGGGCAGCTTAGTCCACTAGGGAGCAAGCATCTGGGATCGCCCCAGTTGCTTGGGTTAAGGTGAAAACGTCTGCCTTGGGGAGACCCACTGCAGGCCCAGGAGCCCAGCCAGCCCCAGCCCTGGGGTTTCTGCTGCCAGCCTGGGGCTCCACTCTCAACATCTCTACCAGACAGACTGTCCTTAGGAGTTTGACTTAGCTATGGATTGGGGGTG